TGTTTTTACCAAGGCATCCCAATTATCAAATCTCTTATGTTAAAGAGGTCCAAAGTAGATCATAAACCCACTAAAGTATCTGGGCTACTGACAACATGAAAATCAGACAGACAATGCTTTTTTGAGATTTGATGGGAATCAAGTGGGAATTGCAGGAAAATGTGATTTACATATATTAAACTCATAGGTCTGAAGAGGATGTCTGAAAGTGGTCTCTGAACCAAGGTTGTAGTGAGGTCAGGGTTGGTTTCTTCTCCCATATAACAAGGGAGAGGACCAGATGTAATGGCCTTAAGTTTAGATTGGATATTTCAAAAACATTCTTCATGGGACAGGTAGTCAGGCTTTGATACAGGCTGTCCAGGGAAGTGCTGGAATCACCATCCCTCCAAGGGTTTAAAAGGTGCATGAATGTGGCAGGTGGGGATATGGTTTAGTGGTGAAAAAGGTGGTACTGGGTTGATAGCTGGACTCAATGGTCTTAGAAGTCTTGTCCAATCTGTATGATTCTATGATACCATAAAAATGAAAGCAACTCCTTTGCTATCTGTGAATACTCAGCTGTGTTTCAAGTAAGCTCACATTTCCTGAACACAGCAAGAACACTTTTTTATTTACAGACGCAGAGTGAAGCCCTAAAACATCTTCCAACAAACCAGTTCCCTGTCAGATTTCAGCAGGATCATTCTCCCAGAGATCCAGCCAGCTCTAGCAGCAAGCAGATTCTCCTCGCAGCTGGAGAAGACATTCCCACTCGTGTATAGCAAGCAGCTCTCCCTGTCACCATGCACTTTAGCCAGCCACAGCCAGAGGCACCCACTGACTCCTGCTCCTGGCAGCCTTGCCCACTCCCAGCTAGGTTTGATGTTAAAGTTACGTTTAATGAGGAACTCACTTGCTACTGGTAACTATGTACAACTACGAACGGAGACGGAGCACGTAATAGTAGTTAAAACAAAAACTTGTTCATCTGAGACAAAGAACAGAGCTCTATTCATGCTAACCTTCTAAAGATATACATTAAATAACCTTGTTGCAATCTATAAGCTAGTTTTACAGAAGTCTATTGTTATTTGTCATGTATGCTCTACAGCTTAGAAAAGTTTTTGCTGTATTTGCAATGCTAACAAAACTTCTGTCTGAAGCCTACTCTTTTTAACCATTTCATTAAAACCTTAAAACCCTCTAACTTTATGAATTCCAGCAGGGCAGCATTGCCATGACAATGATCTGCAGAAACATTTTTCCTCTTCCTTCCTGCTCCTTGTATCCCAACTATCCGTGAAGCTGAAGGAACAACGTGAGGTCCTGAGCATATTCTGAGATCAAGCAGAAAAACTGGCAAATTAAGGGCATTTTAGCTACACATGGCTAGGTAAACTAGCATTTCTGTCTCATACAGATCCTTTTGTTTGCAAAAGGATGTTTGTTAGCAAAACCAATTATCTGCATCTATCTAAAGCATACTTTTGAGAAGGATGCTTTTCCATTGAACACGCCTCAGGTAACAGAAAAATGTCACTGAATTGAAAATAAAAAGCATATCTTATCTAACAAGGGATGAGCAAGGAGTGCAATGTTTTTCAGGGGAAAAAATTTAGGATGATGAATATAGCCAAAGTTTAAGATAATTAGAAGCATTTTCATGGACTGGACTTAACAATTTTTCATTACATGAAAACTAGATGATGTATTTAAAAGATGGTATATTGACTACTGTAGGGCCAACAGACACTTGAACATTTTTAGTTTGTATGTGCATCACCCAAAAAAAAGTGAATATTTCAGAAAGTCACCATGTGTCAGTCTCAACAGCATAATTATTCTGCTTTTCTCAATTTGTCCTTCAGGGGTTTTTGTCTTCTTAGACATAAAAAAACAGAATGAATATGCAAAGAAAGGAAGAATACTGTGAAATTTAATAATAAAACACCCAAAGGAAATCTGCTAATCTGCTAGAAACAACATCTTTACAACATTAGGTTTTCAAGTTTCATTTTGCTCTCTTAGAGCAGACATGAAAATTTCACAAACAGAAAAAAATGCAGGAAAGACACTTTAAAGATGAACAAAACTTGTTCTAGTAAACTTTACCATACTGTATGTATTTAAAACTACCAAGGATATTATAGCTAAATCAGTTAGCTAATTGAAGTTTTCCAATTATCAGTGTTCCTGGAACAACATTGATTTCAAGCAGCATTGCACGAAGCACTTGGTCGCCTCAGCAAGACAGCACAGGACTGCCACCTTGTGAACAACAAAAAACACCACAACTGCATTAGCAGGACAAAATTCAACTGCCCCCAGACACTACAAAACACTTTTCCCTTACTTTCTAACAGAAGTCATCCATCTTATTTATCAACTCTCTAGAAAATTAACAGAAAAAAATATTTCAGCATTGCTTATGGTATAAAATTCTTGCTAATTCTGAACATGTGTTGTCAAGGAAATAATGAGGAATGAAATATGAACACTCACAAACAGCAGGAAATGCAGTTCACAGCAAAAAAGCATTATCAAATTTTCTATCTTACTGAATAACAACATATTTTTAACTAAAAGAAAAAAAGTTTCACTTGTTTGTACTTTTTCATCCATTTCAAAACAATTCAGCCATTCTGTGATTGTTCAGCTATCTTTGTTATTCCAACAGTTACTGAAAAATCATCTTATTTCTAAGAAAAATTAAAACTGAGCCTTTTTTTTCAAAGCAGCCATTATAGAAACGTTAGCTATGTTATTTTTGGTTTTACCTTAAATATTTCAAGGAATTAGTGTGATTTTATTCTAAATTGATAACTAAGAAAATTTACAAGAAATTAACATTTTAAAGCTGTTGTAAGAAATTTCACTGACACCTGCTGAGAATTAACCTAAAGTAAGCAATTATGGTTCTATTGAATGTAGAAGACCTTGGCAACATGAAGCAGGATAAATACAGCCCTTTTTGCATGTCTTAAAGGAAAACAGTTAACAAATTTAAAAGAACTACAATGGAAATATTTCAGGGGCAAAATACCAAATATTAAAATCCATTTTTCAATGGATTTCACCAGTGTTACTGCTATTTGTCAAAATTCCAGGAAATACTGATGGAATTGGCTTTATGACCAGTTCTGGTACAATATAATGCCTCTGATTGCTGGACTGACTTGGCTAACATTGAATATTACCTGCAAACACCCTAAGGCTCATAGACAAAAGTGGAAATGTAGCTTTATTCTACAAATACATTATCCTTTCCTACTTTAGTAATTCATCAACTTCTCTCTTTAAATAAACTTTTATCAACTCAGCCAGCTTTCAAATGAGCAAAATATATTAAGCATCATTTTACTTTTAAATTAAAACCTGTAAGTATGGTGATAAATTCCATTATAAAACATTATGCCATTTCCTATTACTGCTTAAACAGCCCCAACAGGTCACAGACATCTCTCTATGTGTCATTTTTCTAGTGTCTCCTGGGATGGAGCTCATTAGAAAGGTATTGTGCTCTAAATTTTGGTGGATGTTTTGCATTCACTTTTCACAACAAAAAAAAAGTTTTAAATTGTTTTTAAAATTGTATATATTTAAAATGGTTCTTTTCACTTGAAACACAGCTGCTACTTCTGTTAAAAATAGGAATCATGGACAGTCTCTCAACAGAGTTGATCAAGGATGGCATTTGAAACCAGTAAAAACAGACATGATGGAAAAAACACCTGTTGACTACACAGGGATCTTTACAAGGGAATTTTTTTTGTCAAGGGAATTTATACCTGCTCCTCTACATAAAACCAGAAAAAAACCTTGGGTCTAAGATACAACTTGGAATACTAGACAGAGCCCCATGCCTTTCCAAGTTACCATTCCAACTGAGTATTTCAGGGCACAAAGGAAGTTGTACTTAAGCAGGCAAATGCTCTTTTAAGTTATGATTTTATTAGCATGGCATACAAAAACAAAACTGGAAGCAGAAGGCACACAAGACTTCCCCTCCCAAATCTGTGATACTGAAATCACAACACAACATCCTGGACTCTGCCAGAACTACAATGGATTCTTGAAAAGCAATCCATTTCAGGTTTCTTTTGTCCCTTCAATGTGAAGAAGTAAATAGGTACTGATTGAAAATGGCTTTCCCCATGGTACATATTGACAACAAATTACAGGCTGGCAAAAGGCCAAGAAGCAAAAAGTGACCTGGCAAATATCCTGAATTCAATACAAACTACTCATTGAAGAGTGGCTGGAGGGTTTCCTTGGGAGAAACAGGGATGCAGAGGCATTGATCAGAATCTGAGCTCACCACACCCATCACAGGGCTGGTACAGGAAAGGAACTGGAGCCAGGACAGGGATCTTAGTGGGGTAAAAGAAACCAGTAACAGTACTGACCTGAGCCTGTAACTCCCAGAACTGACCTCTTGAGAAATGATTCCAATTCTGAGTGACTTGAGTGGCAATAATATCATGTTTGCAGAGATTTGGCTGAAGTATTATCATTACAGAACAATAATGAATTTAAAGAAGCTACACAGTGCTTCTTTAGCTTTGGAGACTACTTTCCCCTGCCACATATTGTAGCAATCAAATATTTTTGAGACTTAATATAAGTGATTTACTTACAGGAACTATTAAAGCCTTCATTTACTCTGATGATAGTACACACTAGATGCTTTTATATATATATATATCAATATATGTAAATATACATCACTTTGTCAAACTGAATATATACACTCAAGTTCCATTAAACGTGGAAAATACTTCAAAGAATAGTTCAATAATGCCATTAGCACTTCTTGAAGATTACACATCAAAGATCTTTGAAACACTCAGTGCAACTCAGAAGTGCACTCAGAGTCGATTTCAGCACAAACCCGTGAGCACAGAGCCACAGGACATAAAAGCTCAATATTTAAGAGGGCTGCAATGCACTGCACGTTGCAGTGTGACATCTGTAAACTGCTCCCTTTCTCACATCACCAACTGCCATTCATGCTTTATTGTACAGTAACACTTATTCCTCCAAAGGAGGTGCACACACACAGCATCCACTGTGTTTGCTAAATATCAGTTTGAAATAAAATGTTCAAACTTCTCTAGTGGTTTAAGAGCCCATTCTCTTACAAAACTAATGTAAGCATTTACTGACAAAAAAAGTAATGAAAATTCAGAGAGACGTAGGAGGCTTTGAAAACACTGTATTTTAATAGTGGTTTATACTTTGACCACTAGTAAACCTAGAAGGAAATGGCCTGATCTGAGGAATAAATATGCACACAGATAAATAAACAAAAAGGTTGAATAGATTGAAATCCTTCTTTTGTAAAAAAGAAACCTCTGAAACATACTTATAAACTATTTTACCTTCAAGGGCATGTTATATAATATTTTATTATCATGAAAAATGACAGTAAACATCTCCCTTATTTTACAATAATTACAGAAAGGTGTTGTCACATTTCCCCTCATATTGAATTTTTACATTTTCATAAATTCAATATGTGGAGTATCTTCACATTATAACAGATCTTGCATTTGGTTGCAACAATGTAAGCAAAGAGCTTACTTCCCAATTCCAGCTAGGGAAAATAGTCCTTACGTGATGCAAAACATACTGTCTCATTCCAGAGTCCAGTCCTGAAACAGAACTGTGTTTTCCTACAGGTATAAAAGTATCAAAAAAGTCACCACATAAACCTCTGTACTTCATCACTATTTTCCCATTGGAATGTTCTATTTAGAAAAAGATAAAAAGTTACAGCATTTACTAAAATATAAAATGCCAGTTCCAGAAGTTGTCTATGTAGAGGCAGCAATGGAATATTGAGCCTATATATTAAGAATGGCAAAATAAAGTAACGAAATTCTAGCAATTTTTGAGGAACTGTGACTGCTAATAAACATACAAAATACATTAAGATCCAGAATATCGATTTTGATTTTAGTGTATCAGCAAAACTCCAGCCAGCGAATAGGTAGAAAGGAACTAACAGGTATTTTACAAGCTCGTGTCTTTGGAACACTTTTCTCCAGACATAAAATGTATAATGTCTGTTGTCTGCTAGTAAATACTTATGGACATAGGTAAATTTCCAGATCAGGAACAAAGAGATGACAGTGACTAAGCTATACTGCACAGGGTGCTTCTTCAATGACAACAGGAATTTCCTGATTTTAGTAGGGGTCAGTAAATGAGGAAATGAAAAAAAAACAGTAAAGGACAGAAAATAGAACAGCTGAGGAAAGTGCAAACAGGCTTCATGACTACTTCTGTCACCAACAACTATTCCACCATTGATGAAGACAAAAACAAAGAAGAGACATACTAAAATGATGTATGGCCAAGTTAAAGCAGTAAGTGTAACTAAATTTTTGGGTGACAAGAGATATTTAACAAGAAACTGCAGTATTCTGGTCAAATCTGAAAATGATCCTTTCCTGGAAGAAATCTTTTCATCTTTCTTTTTCTGCAACTCAATCTTCCAGGCTTCATTTAGCTTCTCTGCAACAACATTTCCAGCACAAAAAACTGTCCACACAATGTTTGTCTGACGAAACATGAAGGCACAAAATCCAAGGAGAGCAGAAGTTTTATGGTTACCATAAAGGCACATTAAATAGGAAAAAAGAGTAAAAAATACTGATCCTGGATCTGTATAATAAAGGAATGTGAAAAAATAAAGCGTGGGAAATGCTGCAAGAGTTAATGCAGACGAGATCCTCTGGAAACCAGACACAGCCTAAAGAAGAAGCAGAAAAATGTGGTTAGACAGTGCCCAATAAAATAAAATAGTACATTAAAAGAAAACTAGTACAACACTTGAGAATTCCATTAACACAATATAACATCTCCTATGTTCTTTGTTTCCATTATTGCACAAATGCTGTATTTTTCTTAAGTTCCTGCTATGTTTATACAGTTACACAATGTTAAAATCCAAGTGAAAAGCACAGAACATTACTGCAGGTGATTTAAAAAGATGGCAATGAAAATACACCAACTTCTTTCATTTGTCAGGTGTGCACGTATTTGTGGTATTAAAATCATGGTGGGGGCATCACTGCTCCCATACTTTGGATAAAAGGGCTGCATCAATGGGCAGAAGACAAAATCAATGGTTTATTCCCCTGCAATCTCACCATGAGATTCTGTTTGTCTGTGTGACAGCACCATTCTGTGTCTCTGCTATCACCTCTTTTGAACCCAGTCATAGAGAGGCCAACTCCAAGTTTCTGATCTTTGATGTAGCTTTTATTATTTATCCTCATTATAATTAATGAGTCAGAAAAGAAATTTTAAAAAAGGTAGGAGACCATGCAGTTAAAAACTCTTCCCAATTATTCCACTCACTACAACACCACAAATCACAACATTAAAAAATGCTGCATGATGTTTCTGAATGCTGTAGTGTGGGTTGAAACGGCCACTCATCACAAGGAAGGGGAATACAGAAAACATTGAAGACAAAGAAATATCAAAGGATAACTAAATGCTCAGACTATCATCATGAAACTTGTTCTTACATTTATGTTTCCACTTTGAAGTATAAAATTAAAAGTAGAAACCATTTATTTAATCTGATCTAATTCTGTGCAGTGTTATCATTAGCTTAAAAATGAAGAGATTTCCTCTAAGAAAACACACCAATTTTCTTTGGTGTGGAAGGAATCCTTCAGTAAAGGAATCCTTCAGTTTTCAGGGAAAAGGAAAAAAATGTTTTAAGGTTAAAAGTAAAAAAATGTAACTTTACTAATGTGCAGGATTTTAAATAGGCCGTTAACCACTAAACTTATTTACTACAGTGGTGGATGCTTTAGATTTTTAAATATACAGCATTCTTGTATGCAAGCTGAACTGCTATGGTCTGGATGTGTGGACAGGTAAGAACTGGCAGGGTTGTGAACTGGTTACACTCTACCCAAAGGACAGTAACAACCCAAGGACCACAGGGATCAATACTGGCACCTGTTCCATTTAATGGCGTTATCAAAGACAAGATAGACACTGTCACCGAGTCTGTAGTTGACACTGTGTAAGCAGGACCAGACAATTTGCTCAAAAGCACAAGTGTCATCCAGAGTAACTCTGGAGGAATGGGGTAATGAAAACATGATTAAATTCAACAAGGCCAAATCCAAATGCCTACAGCTGTAAAATAAGAAATCCCCTTAAATGGCACAGGCTGCTCACAGAGCAGCTGAGGAGCCGCTGTTCAAGTTGTGTGAGGACTCTTAAGCAATTCCAATGACATGAGCATGTCAGACCTTTGCATAGTAAAGTTCTGCATAGCTACTAACTTTTATTTCAACAGGACTCCTTCTACATATGTGCAAGAATGAATTTTTAGAGGACTGCACCATGTGCAAGAAAAAAAAAATATTTAAAAGAAATTAGAGAAAAGGAATGTGCCTTATTGGCCAAACTGCTGGTGGTACTCGCAGTTACATAAAACTGAGGTAGTGAAGGGAACATACACTAAACCATCAAAGTTGCTTGCACGACTGCATAACATTGCTTTACTTTGACCGTACCTTATTCTTCTGATGGATCTTGAACAGAAGCAAGTACAGTAAGTAGAAGTTCCCAGCACTGAAGAGGAGGTTGATAAACCTGAGCATTCCCACAGAGCACACCACGCTTCCCGTCCAGCCGAGGAGCCACGCCGCGGGCTTCACCACTCCCACCGAGAGCAGGTACAGGCCGGGCAGCGTGGTGATCATGGGGTCCCACTGCAAGGGAACACAGCGTCAGGGACCCGCTGCCTCCACAGGGCCCGAGCCGCGACACGGCCACACCGCCCCAACACGATCGCTGGCTCGGCCGCAGGCTCTGACACATCCCGGCACTGCTGCCCTGAGGGCTCTGAACTCTGCAAGCGCTGCCCGGCTGCTGCTGCGGCTCCACCCGCTACACAACCCGCGTCCGGCCAGCCCCGACCCCGACCCCGAGCGCTGCTGCGCCGCTGCCGCAAGGGTGAGCCCCTCCCGACCTGCAGGAAGCGGCCGTGGCAATAGGCCTGCGCCTGCGGGACGTGGAACACCTCGTCCATGTAGGGCCCGCGCTGGCGGCGGCTGACGGCCGCGAAGAGCAGGCAGGACAGCAGGAAGGCGCCGCTCATGGCCCCCGAGAAGCCGTAGGCCTCGTAGCGCTCCATGCCGGCTCCGCGCCGGCCGCGACGGGGCCGCCCTTCCGGGGAGGGGCGAGGGGCGGCACCCGGGAAGCGGGGCCGGGAATCGGGGGATTCCTGTGGGAAGCGCTGAGCCTTTGGTCTCCCTGGCCGCGTGTGTTTAGCGCTGTGTTTTCCGCGGGCCGAGCAGCGATATCCCGGGGATGGAGCGAACGCACCGGCTGGAGCTGTTCCCGGAGCGCAGCGTCACGCTGCTCCTCTTCCAGCACGTGAAAAATGCCGCCGCTCTGCGGAAAAAAGCCATGGAGGGCTCCATTGAGGGAGCACTGATAAACCCTGCGATGGTGAGTGTTGTCCTGGCGGATCGGAGTGCCCGCGGGAGCTCACGAAGCTGGCCGGGCTCTCCGTCGCTGTCACACGCTGCTCTGCGCGTCCCCCGGCTCTGCAAGTGCCCGCCTTTGGTTTCATTACTGCCTCCTACATCTGAAAGGGTCGGCTCTGTAAAACAGCCTTGGCAAGATTGGCCAAAAAACATTATGTTTTGATTAATTTCGCATCCTGCTTGGTGGCGTTTAAATCTCCCTCATGTGTAAACTCTAGTGCTAATTAATTCATGCTATCTAAAGTTTACTATTTGATGCCTTTGTTCTCATTTAACCCACAAATAGTTTCAGAATCTAGTCGTTTTTTGTTAGGGGTCAGGATTTTTTTCAGATTTCAAAACAGTAAGTTAATTCTGTATAACTCTTTCTGTTGTGTTTTACAGATTGTAGATCCTTTTCAGATTCTTGTGGCAGCCAACAAAGCAGTGCATCTACAGAAGATAGGTAAAATGAAGACCAGAACACTCTATGCAGAAATTATTTTCAGCCTTTCACCGAGCAACAATGTAAGATTTATTGAACAAATTTCTTTTTTTGCCAGAAAAGCTTGCTAAGATCCACACAGCCAAACTAACTACATGTATTCCTTTAATAATCTACATAGCTACTGGTAGAAGTTTTTAATTGTTATTTTTAATGACACTAATGTGCTGTTGTGGTTTGTAGCCTGTCAGAATTCCACTAATGTAAAATGTCTGTCAGTTTATACTCTTGGGGTATCTGACACAGTAACTGAAAAGGTTCCTGGTATGTAGTGAGAAAGTGACTCATAATATTTTTTTCTCTTTTTACAGATTTCAGATGCATTTAAAAAGTTTGGCATTTCAGACAGCGACACAGCAGTGCTCATTGTGCTGGTCGTGGATGGAGACAAGAATGTCAATCTGGCAGATATAACATCTCAGGTGGAAGGCCAGCAGGTTTCCCTAGATGAACTCCCCCAGCTAACAGACACTGCCAAAGTTAAAAAGGTGTGTAGCCAAAAGAGAGGACTGACATGGAGAAAAGGGACAGTCTATTTAGTTGTCTGATTAAATATCAACAGACAAAAGTAACTTAGGATCTGTATTTCTTTAGCAGAACTGAAAACTTCGTTTAAGTGGACCTTGATTATTTCTTAGAATTTTTTAGTTGAAACAAATTTTAGTTGTCACACCCTAACATCACAAAGTTTAAGTCTTCAAATTATTAATGTTGTCAGGGAATTAGAGCATAAAAATAAATTCCTGATTGCTGCCTACCATCCAGGAACTTTTGATTCCTGTTTTTCAGGCAAATATTAATTTAATTAAACATTTCAGTCCTGAGCATTTTCATAAGCTTAAGTACATAGATAGTCCCAGAAGAGGTGGTTAAAATAGGAACAGGTTAATTAGCTGTTAGGAGCTGTCTTGGGGCATTTATGCTCTTAACAGATTACCATATGCTAAATAAGTATTTTGAAGCATATGCCTTCTACGTGATAAAATTCGAGTAACTTAAATCATCTTTATCATGTCTGTCAAAGTATTGATAGGAGACATATGAATAAAATTGGACAAATTATAGCATTTAACATATGGAGCTTAAAGTGCTGCTCTTATTCAGTTTCGTAGCTTTCCTTATTCTTGCAGTTTCAGAATTTGCTTCAGTCCAAATTTTGTCTTGCAGTCACAAGAAGATAGGATTTTCCAATATAAAAGTGAGGGAGAGGGGAATAATCTTTTCTTGGTACATAGTTTTAGAAGGTATGTCATTTCTTCCTTATACATCTTTCCTGTTTTTCTTGGTTTTTTGCAGATGTACAAAGTCACTCCACAGGAAGAAAAAATCGGCACCTTATTGGATAGTGTTGTTTGCAGAATGTCAACAAAAGATGTTTTGTGAAAAGGTGGAAATAAATTTCAGAGGAAGTGAAGTAGTACTGAGTAGTGTGATGACATCTGAGCTTTAACCAGGCTTGGACACAAGGGTGACCTGAGCTGTGTTCTAAGCACAGACAGCATGCCAAGCAGAACTTGCCATTGACACTTTGGTCCTTTTTCTTGACAAGGGAGAGTTGGCAGTACTTTAAGCTGAACTTAAACAAAAGGCTTGGAAATTTGTACTTACTTTTGTCTTTTGTCAAATGTTTTGGTTGTCCCAGAGAGAGTTCAAACATTGTAAATCATTTTTATTAACTGTGCTCTGATTTGTTTTGGTTTGGCAACCCGATGGATGATATCCTTTTAACAATGCTACTGCCAGAAAAGGCATCTTTACAGCCCAAGTATTTCTGATGGCCTAGAAAGAGGAAATTTTCCATAAACAATCAGCAGCATCTCCCTCTTTGTGCTCCTGGGACAGAGTGCTGCCCACCCCTTGAGGACAGGAAGGGGCAGAGGGGTGCCATGCCAGCCAGTGGCAGTGTGGAGCAGGGGTGTCAGAGATGTGTACAAGGAAGAATGAGGTCAGTGGGTAATGCTGTGGTGGTGTTAGCACCTGACACTCTGATGTCATCCACTGCTGGCTTTAAAGGATAAGGAGTGGTGCTTTTACTTCATAACACTGGTTTATGCATGATGATGCTGAACTTAGAGCCTGGTTTCAGGTGCAGAATTCACAGACAAATTTGCACCGTAGGTTGTATCCACTTAAATTGTCAATAGAGCTTACATAGTATTCCTAAAGGACATAAAACTTGGTGTTCTGAACCACTGCTAGGGAAGGCCATCAAAGGGAACTAGGAGGACTGTTGATTTCCAGTAGTCACCAGGTGCAACAGCTGTGAATGTGTGTCATTTTATCACATGCAAGCATCCTGTTTAAGTACTGTCCTAATAAGGTAGAAATCCATACTCATTGTTATTTTTGTGGTGTATTGTTTTTCTAAGATGTGCATAAAATTACAGCTGTCTGCATTTTTTTCCTGATGTTTTCTGAGGTATTATGATTTGTGTAATTAAAAGATCTTTGGAAGAGAATGCCTCACATTCTTACACAAAGATTTTGAAGGAGAGGTAGGTCTTAGAGTTGATAATAGTACAGTAAACAGACCAGTGAACTGACATATAGACATGGTTTTGTCTGTGTTTCTGTGTTTAATACAGAAATGTACAGCTTCAGTTTTGCATTTTGATTTCATTTAAGTTTTCCCTTAGTTAAAACACAGTAGTACAAATACCATCCTTTTCTTTCCAACCAGACCAATGGCAAATTTAGTTACGAAGTACTAAGGGAATGACAAGGTTTATCAAAGGATTAGGGGCAAATAGCTGTGCTGACATGTTGCTGTAAAGATGGCTTTACAGAATGCATCATCCTCTCTAAAGGGAAATGTGATGCAGTAGTAAAAAATGGAGCTTGGAAGGACTTGAGTCTTCAAAAGTCTGTCACATCAGCATGTGAGAATGACCATGGAAAATAATGAGACTTGTTTTCCTTTTCTGACAGTCCAGTTGGTACATGGAATATATCATAAGGCTCACTGGCTGAACTGCAATGTTTTTGTTAGTTTAAAATAACAGCAGACAGGCTTACTTAAACCACTGCCTTTTTTGAGCACGTGTAAAACATCTGTCCAGTCTGTTTAGTACAGGAGAAATAGTAATAAAATGATGGCTACATAAAGTTTTGACACACAAATTCCAAACTTGAGTTCCCAGTTTCTACTTCTCCATCTATTTCATTGGTGTAGAGAGTTAAACAGCTCATTACTGTTGATGTAAGTTAAATTGTGATTTACTGTGAGACCCAAATGAGGTGTTTTAATGGGTGGATTTACAGGAAATTATTTTGGGAGTTGAAGTCTCCAGTGTCATTCAGTCAGGCAGATGATTTGAGGCTGTTTGCTTTGAAGACTGCCCTGCAAGACCACAGGTTTTCATGAGATGTGGTTACATTATCCAACTTAAATGAGTTATTTACAAAAACTGATAATAAAAGTAGATTTTGTTCACCCTGCAAAGATGCAGTTGTCTTTCTGAATACATTAAAAATAGTTTAATTTAGATCTTTAGTGTTATTGTTAAATCAACTAAGGCTGTTTTCCAGGAAAGCAAAATTTTAAGAAGAATTTTTTTCAAAACATTTAATGTTCTACAGCAGTCTCTTCTGAACTTTCACACCTCATCTCCTCTATCACAAGGTGAAAGAGGAAACTGAAGTATTTTCAATACCTTATTTGGACCTCCAGTGCTTCAGAGGCAGGATTACTCCTGCAAAATTTATAAATTTAACAATTAAATGCTACATCATGATGTGTGGTCAATTGTTCTAGGGGTTTTTTTTCCCTTGGTGGGGTGCATTTGGGATTTTGTGTTTGACTTCCAGCATGCTGAGGCCACTGCCTGTCCCACAGCCCTGATCACTGGGGTTTTTGTGCTGCTGTCAGTGTGTAGGTCCCTCTCCCATCTCGTGTACTTCAAACTTTTATTGACAAGGGAGGGCCCATCCTTTTGTGTTCACTTGTAATGTTCATCCTACATGTTTTGTGACTGGGTCTGTATGTTCTATGACAATGTATTTAATGTGCTAAGTATTCCTTTGTGTGCTGTTCTCTAGGGAGCATCACCAAAGCACTGCTGCCATGTTAAAGCAGGCTGAGGTGGTGTCTGTGCAGGTGGGGTAACACTGGTTGGAGGAACAGCAACTCCAGCACCTCACTGCCTGCTGAGAGCTGACACCGGTGTCTCTGGTGCTACACTGGCCCTTGTTAACACTCCTGGAGATCTTCTCAGAGACATTTCAGTTTATATATCCCTCCTGATTATGG